GTTGAACCAGGAATTCAGGGCTAACTGCCATAGCCCCACCTCGTATCCATCGAGGGTTTGTTGAACGGCCGGATGTAGGGGAAATCGAAGACCCGCCTTAATGGCCGCCTCATAACAGCCAAAGCAGGCGTCCCCATAGCTGGCTCCAGCTTGCCAGGTGACAGCATCTGGCACAAATAATTGAAAATCGGCACCCATCGCATGGTTCGATAGAAATGAGTCTATACGTTCCTTCAAGACCTTGATTCGGCCCTTAGGAACGTGGCAGTAATAAGGGGTATGCGACTCCCTTCGGGAAGCGGATGGTTCTGCCCATTCGTCCCCCTTATCAACCGCCTGAGAAAGCCTCGCCTCAGGCAAGCGAGAATGCTTCTCTTTTGAGCCTGCAGAAGAGCGACTTGAAGAGCTAGAGTCAGACTCACTATTAGAAGAGTCCGACTCCTCCCCTCTCCCTGAGGGGGCCGACCCCTCTTCTTCAAGGTCCAACTACTGACTGGCCATGCCAACAGTGAAGTGGGAAGGGACCACCTTGGCTCCCTCCTCAGAGCTCTCGGCAGAAGGGCCACCTTGGGTCCCTGCGGTATCAGGCGGCTGGTCCGACAGCTCGCTAATTTGAACCCGGAAAGAGGAGCCATCAGAGTTTTCAATCCTCTTGGTCTTTTTTGTTCTTGTCATACTGTCCTGCATAGATACAAAGACAGTTGGATTCCGGGACTTGCGCAAAGTTTGAAGTACCGCAGGGCAGTCGGCACTCCTAGTCCTAGATTCAGCCGTCCCCGGTGACCGACTAATCACTAACTTAGGTCGTGTTAGGTGCTTTCGAGGTACCATATTTCAAAGGAAATAAAAAGAAAGAAAGAGAACAGACGGTTACCTGAATGATTGAAGAAGTGTTGAAGTTGAAAAAAGCAGTCGTCCAACGAAAGTAGTCGGCTTGTCAGAAACAGTCGGCAGTTAAAAAGCTACAAAGTGTCAGAGCTCAAGTTCAGGGGTCCGAGAGTTCTCTTGAAAAAGTTCGCAAATGTGAACAAAAGACTTGGTCAACATGTCCATATATAGAGTAGAAGGAGAATTCGAAAGGTCGCTTCCAAATTCAAAAAATGAGCGGGAAAAATGCCCGGCCCGTCACAGGGCGACACTTGTAGCAGTCCGTCGCCTATTGCAGGCCGACACCTGTCATAGGTGACATGTGAACAGTCACAAAACCACCTGTGAGGGGCAAATGATTAGGGGATTTTTCCCTACCAATCATCATCTGACAAGTGGACCATTCAGGCTCCGCCAAGTGTCCGCCACATGGACCAATTGGAACCTGCCACATGTCAAGTGTTGATCAGTCCACCTTGGACCACTTATGTCACGCCACGTGGCCTCCCCCATTCCAAATGGGAAAACCGGCCGCCTAGGCCCAATTTTCAAGAGAAGCCCAGTCAGCCCTACGTTGACCTAAACCTAGGATTTGGCACGCTTCCCAAGGCTATAAATACTTTCATTAATCCTCATTAATGGGGGTTAAGCACATTTATTACTCTCACCTAGAGAACTTAAACACTTTGATCACCCCTCACCTAGAGGAACCAGATCTCCCAACCTTTTCTTTTCCGCATTATTCACTCCTTAAACAAGTACTAACTTGACCGTCGGAGGCGGAACTCCCACCAACAGGAGTCTCCGTTGTTTTGCAGGTACAGGCGCAAGGATCCCAGTCTTGGAATTGTAACTCTCCCGCAGGACATCAAAAAACCCCGAAACAGGTCCGCCTCTGCCTGCACCACCACCGAAACCACCCACCCCTCCTTCTAGAGCCACATGAGCGCAATAGACCCCCCGCCCAGCACCACCAACGAAACCGCCCAAAACTTGAATTCCCTAACCCGAACCCACCCTAAACTCCCATCCCTTTCCCCACCCGTAACCCCCACCCCTTTCCCTGACCCGAAACTGCCGTAGACTCGGAACCCCTACCCCTAAAACCATTCCCCCACCCCTCGGAATTTGTGAATTTGTTTTTTTCCTATAAAATAAAATAAATAAACTACAATTCACAAATTAGCAACCAAAATTGACTCAATTATCAAACTAGACTCCAAAAATTACGTTAAATTCTTCGAGTATCTATAACCAATAGTTCAATTATCCAACTTCGAAGAGCCCTAAATTGAGTATATACTGACAATTAAATACACGATTAACACTAGATTGTCAAAATTAATATTAGATGATTAAAGAAAAAGAAGCATCTAACCTTAGAGACTGCTTCAATGTAGAAGAGAAAGCTCAGAAGCCCCTCAATGGAGAATTTCGAGTACGCTTGAGGAAGGAGTCCCGTGATTCGTGAAAAAAATTTAATTTTTTTTTTTAATAAAATAATAGGTTGTCCTGGGACCCACTATGACTACACGTGGATCCGCCACTATGTACGCTGAACCTTTTAATTTGATAATCGAAACTATGAAATTGATATTAACTCGATTATCAAATTAAGCTTGAAAATTCGCATAAAAATCGCATACAAAAGAAGTTTTTAGTTATATTTTGTTATGATTGCGACTTCTAATGAGAAGCTGATTAACTTAAGATAATCTTGATTTTTTGGACTTAAGATAGTCTTGATTTTTTGGAGTATATCTGATTAACTTAGGATAATCCTGATTTTTGGAGTATGAGATTAGTATTCTTGTTGCCTGCTATTGCCTATGGGTTTCATGCTCATGAACATTGAATCGCTAGTGATTTTGAAGACCAATTTTTAGGTTAGGGGTGTTAATGAGCCTAGCTAATTCATAAACTATTCTAATTTGTCTAAAAAAATTTCACGAGTTTACTATAATACAGCATAACGCGAGAATTAATTCTACATATTTTAATCTTTTCACTTAAATTATGAGTTGAATTGATTAAAATATAAGATGATAAGGTTTTTGAATTCAACTTGAGCTTTAGGGCAGTTTGAACTTTGAAATTTAGGTAGAGAGTCACGTCTCAAGTTTAAATTCAAGTATAATGAGCTGAGTTTGCAGGCTCCCTCGATTAGCTAACCCCTTACCCCTCTACTTTATTTTGAAATTTGATCGCCTTATAGTTTTTCAGGTTGTCATTTTTCAATTATTATTAACTAACCCCTTTAAGTTTCTTTAGTTTTTATTTGCCGAGGCCTGAATTGTATTTTGTATGACAATTCCTTTCATATTTGCACAAATAAGAATGAACTGATTCTGTATGCTAGGTCAATTAACTTGTTTTGACACAAATGGCTGTTGTTGAAAGGTTGATGACAAAAGTTGTCATCACTCATCAGCAATAGGCTTTACCACTGACATTAGATTGAGCTTAGGTCAGTGATGAGTGGTGCTATTTGTGGGCAATGAACTCGAATAATGTTTTAAAGTAGTATAAAATTTCTGGTCTTGTTGCGAGAGAAGTTGTGCATTGTTATGCTATGTAAATTGAGGTTTTTAGAGGTTATATAAAGCTATACAATTATTATGTATAAGGCTAGAGTGCTTTTAGTTACACTACGAATAAAGATAATATGTGCAAATATGCAATGTCTAGTGTTTGTTAAGGTCTATCCTTCATCAAATCAATCTTTGTTACCAGTGGATTATGTCTTCAGTTGCGTTCTCTGAGATCTGCTGAAGGCTTCCTGTATATTGTCATGTCTCCATTAAATGGTGGCTTTGGTTCTATAGGTGTAGTGTATATTAGAGTGAGTAACATGGTGTGTAGGTGACATGATGGTTAGGGTAATTGGTATTGTTGTGGCCCGTGAGCCTAAGGTGTACTACGTATTTTGTATTGTTTATATCGATGTAGTACCTCCTAATGTATCCTATTTTTTTTTTTTTTTTTCATTTTCCCTCAGAACAATGGAGGAAGATGTCCCAGTAAGTTCTAAGGGGCCGTTTGGTTTGCATGGGGTAAACGAAATGGAATGAACAAAGGGAATGAAAGAGAATGGAATGAAAATCCCTCAAATTTAGTGTGTTGTTTGTTTTAAAAAATCAAAGGGAATCAGATCAGATCCACCACATTACCACTACACCACCACCACCACCACCACTACACAACCCCCTCTTTCTTCACTATCCCACTTCTCCAGCCACCCCCTCGCCGCACCTACCCCGCCCCTCGCCGCACTTCCTTTCCTCCCAAACAGCTTTCCCCTCCCCTGAAAACCTTCCCCCACCCTCGAAAAAACCCTAGAAACCCTTCCCCAGCCACCCTCGAAACCCTTCCCAACCACTCTCGAAGCCGCACTTCCTCTCCTCCCAAAAATCGATTTGCTTTCCGGCTAGACCAAGAAACCGAAATGAAGTACAAAAACGGTCGGCGAGGGTGGTTGATTTCTAGTGGGTGGTGTGTTTTTAAGGTGGAGGGTGGTTGATTTCGTGTGGCTCATGAGATTTTAAGTCGGTGGATGAGTGGTTAGGGGGAGGGGGTTTCTACCAAGCGATGGTTTCGGGTCGTGGGCGGTGGCGGTGCTGACGGGATGGTGGTGGGAAGACCGGAAGAGCGGCGGTGCCGATGGGGCAGTGGTGGGAAGATTTCCGATGATGGTGGGGTGTTAGTGCAGGTGGAGCAGTGTTGGTGTTGGTGGCTTAGGGGAAAGGGAATGCAAATACCATGGGGGGGTGGGGAATGAGAGTAGAGGACTTTGGGGTAATTAAGTGGGGAAAGGGAATGATGGAATTGACATAACAAACAACAACTAAGGTAATCATTCTTGTTGATTCTCTTTCCTTTTCTTAATTACCCCAAACCAAACGGCCCCTAAATACTTTCTGCATATATTAATTCCTAAGTTATTTGTGACTAGTAATTGATTGTTCCATGCTATTCTTTCCACTATCTAACGTGGCTATATATTTATGCTCTTTCCCAATTGTAGAAGTTTTGGTCATTTTTGGGCAAAGTTGGTACTGAAATATGTTCATTAAGGTCTAACAAATTCCAGGCTGATAAGATAATATAATTTCAGGTCTAATAAGAAATGAAAAGATAGTTTTAAAGGTCAAATAAGGGCTTATAAGTCTAGATGAGAAAAGATTAATGCCATTCCAGTAAAGAGAGTGTTACCTAATAGCTCAAGGAATACATTGTTTATTATATTTTTGAGATGCATCACTACAGTGACATTTCGTTGTATAAACTCCTGAAAGCTACTTGCAATAAAACATTCCAAAATAATGATATAAACTTTATGTTAGATGGACTGCTAGAGGAATTTGCGGAGTAGATAAATTGTTGGTTCAAGTTGGATATGAAATCTATCTGTAAATTTGTTAAACGAGTATGAATATTTTTTTTTTTTTTTTTTTTGTTTTTTTGACTGGAAAACCAGTATGAATATTGTTGTGACTTAGAAGGTGCTTTATGTAGTAGTTTTTTAAGATAATGGGTTTTTGCAATTTTGCATCATTGAGACTCTTCTGTGCTAAGATTTTATAATAAAGTGCACCTGGAATATTTTGGACCTTAATAAAATGGCTTCTGCATGAACTATGCTTTAGATGGCCTGTCTAATTCGTCTTCTGTCTAATTATGTTGCTTCTACACTTCAGCTAACAATTGTACTGTTTGATAACTTTTGCAAGGGAAAGAATGAGGAAGAGAAGTTTAATACTGGTCCATTATCTGTACTTATGACGAGTATCAAGAATAACACGCGGGTACTAGATAACTACTTTATTCACATTTTCTCTGTTAAGTTGAATTTGTCATTATTTACGATACTCACGGTATATTGATATACACTTCCTTCCCTAATTGCTTTCTTATTTTAAAGTACTACCTTGTGATAGGAGCATGGTTTATACAGTCTTTTTATATTACAATGTGCTTTGTTGGTTATTAAATCTTCTGATTTACTTCTTCAGGTCCTTATCAATTGCCGAAACATCAAAAAATTGTTTGGACATGTGAGAGCTTTTGATCGTCACTGCAATATGGTTCTTGAAAATGTCAATGAGATGTGGACTGAGGTTTGTCTCAACTATCAACACTACACCCCCCTTCCCCCTTCTCTGGTTCGCCCCATGATTAAAAATTACTTGGTATTAGATCCTGAGAACGGAATCTGCAAATGTTATCTCCCTACATCATATAATTTATTTATTGAAGGTGGAGGGAGCATAGCTATCTATTCTTGTGGATTTTCACGTGCTATGATATTAATGTAATTTCTTGTTGGCATGTTGCAGACCCCGAAGACTGGGAAAGGGAAGAAAAAGGCACAGCCAGTAAACAAGGACAGGGTCATTAGCAAGATGTTTCTTCGAGGAGACTCAGTTATCATTGTCTTAAGGAACCCAAAGTAATTTCGCAGTCACCCGACTTGCGTGAGCTGCTGATTCTGCAGATGGCCCTTTTTATACTGATGTAATCCGAGAATAGTATTACCTTAGTGGAAGTGTGGAACTTGTGTTGGACAGAATATGCTCTGAATAGCTGTAGCCATTCTTGTGAGATTGGTCACTGGGATGATGGTGTCAACTGTGCCGGGATTACATTGAAGTATGGCCAAGTAGTATGTCTGAGGTTCTTTAGTTAGACTCAAGGCTAAAATCTGATCGTCTCCCGAATCATCTATGTTGCTAACTTTGGTCACATACTTATTGTGTCCCTTTATTTTTATTTTGATCATGCAGTATCAGATTCATAGTCAACTGTTAATATGAAAAGTAGAAGTTATGTCTAATATATCCAAGTATATTCTGCTGATTGTTGTCAACATATTACAAGAGTGTTATTTTTTGCCAACAACAAAAATGTTTCAAGTTTTCCATGTCCTAGAATTTTCTAGTTTTCTATGTCAACTTTAGTTTTTTTTTCTTGAACGAATTTCAACTTTAGTTTAGTGACGTTTTCTATGTCAGCAGGTAAGTTCTTTCACCCCCATTTGCGGGCCCCTTTCCCACGAGTCATCTCTCTCTAACTGTACACTTAATAGTGAAGTAGGTAATTTTGCATATTTGCTCATTACTTAGCGCTCCAAATGAGCAGCTCCTACTTGCACTTAGTTGAAGGTGTGTTGGATTCTAGATGGATAATAGAATTCTCTTTCATCGGATGGTAGAACTATTGTACTCTTACTAATTCATATTGTTTTACGCACTTTGACTAATTTTGCCTCACAAAAATATTTAAGTGAGAAGAACAATACTAACAAAGAGAGTGATTCTTATAAAAGTTTGCATTCGTGATTAGTTTATTTACTAGATGAAGCCCGTGCGATACACGGTTTGTTTGAATTTTATAAAGTAATTTTTTTTTTTTATTTATGTGCTAAAATTTGTTATATATTTAGATAAATTTCTAAATATCAAAAGATAATATTTTATATTTAATTAATTTAAACTTAAAAATCTCATTCGCCAATTTTGCCGACATGGCATTTGAATTATTTAATTATAAAAAAATTAATAGTCTCTTATTTAATGGGCTACAACTAAAATTTAAATCCTATGTGGCTAAGAAAATTAAAATTTAAATCTTATTTAATCTTACATGGCGCGCTAAGAAAATTAAATCCCCTTTATATATATACTGGTTTTGTGCCCGGGCGATGCCCGAATTGTCCTAAATCTTTTAACTTAAATGTTAAGTACGCGCATATAACCCCTTTTGATAATGTAAGAATGTTAAATAAGATCATTAACCCCTTTTAATAATTAAAATATTTAGACATACGATATCATATCGCTTATTTATATTATAGGGTACTTTTTGTAGTTTTATTTGTAAATAGATATCTATGTTATTAGTTTACCAAACTAAATTTTTTTTTCCTGATTAAAACTTATTTTTATTGATTTTCTATTTTTTATTAAAACATATTATAATGGATCTCATTTTAAAGAACTTTTTAAAACGAATTTTATGATGGATATAGTAGTGAGATATAAGATATTTATTAAAAGTTACAATTAATTTTGTATATATGAAATATTAGAAATATATCGATAATATAAAGCAATATACAATATTTTTATCTTACAAAAATCTATCCAAAATTCGCTTACTTAGCATCCTATGTTTCACAATAATACTTATTTTTCTACTACGTGGCTCGACACTTGGCGAAAAACTGAAATACCAAGTGTCGTTGTCTCGTGGCCTGACTGCGAGACCGGCTTTATATATTAGTGATATGATATGATATTAGATTTGAAGATGTTTCTGTAGCAATTACAATAAGAAAAAAAGTGGGCTCCATGGCCACAATAATTTAAAAAAAAAAAGTGGTCCCTCTTTACTTTTTTTTGCCAAAGATCAAGTTAGAAATAAGTAAAATCTTATTAGAATTAGATTTTACTTTATGAAAATAAGAAAATTAAATTCATAAAAGATGTTAAAAATACTCCATAATTAAGTAATTAAAAGTGGGTAATCTTAAAATATTCTCTCTTAGGGTTTACTTTACCCCTTTCACTCTTCTCTTTCGATCACCAAAATTCGTCATCGTTGGTTTTTCGGAAACGGCAAGACCGTGGTGAACATCACTATGGTCTTTATAAACTTCTTGTATGGAGATTGTATTCATGGTGGTTATCTTAATTACTCTCTCTCTCTTAGGGTTTACTTTACCCCCATTCTGACATCAAATATATAATACCTCATCCGTTTTTTTTTTTTTTTTTTTTTTGACACGTATTGACTTTTGCATTATTCAGACACTTTCCTTTGACCATGTTTTGTGATTTATACGTAAGGAAAAATATAGTTAGTAGGATCTTATTAGAGTCATCACGATATACATTTTTAAAATGTCAACATGACTAATGAAACGTGCTTATACTAAATATGTTAGTGTTAAAGTTATATGTAACATAACATATCATGTTATATATGTTAATAATATCAATAAAATTGAAACATGATAATTTTCACCAAAAAAAAATGCTTTTTAAAGTAGTATATTGCATGTAATATATGAGATAATTCATTTCAAATAAATTCATCATTTTCAAATCAATGAAATGTTAAATTACTACCTATACATACCGTTGATTCGAGGGAGGACTACCATATACTAAGCTAATTCTTGAAATCATGTGCATATTCACCAAGACAATTAGGTTAATTGTGGTCAATTCCCTACCCCAACACAAGATTACATGATCCCTTTTATTTATAAATGAATATATGTGGATGATACGTACCAATAATACATATGGATATTACCTACAATTAAATGTATAAGTGAAACATTACCTAAGATTAGGGGTGGGACTTCGGTCTGGCAGTTCGGTTTGACCTCAGTTTGAAACGGTTTCGGTTTGAAACGGTTCGGGTTAAAACGGTTTCATTTAGACGGCGGGTCGGTTCAGTTCGGTTTTGATTAGTCACAGGTCGGTTCGGTTTCGGTTTATTTTTGTACGATTTAAATTCGGTTCGGGTCATAAACGGTTCGGTTTATAAACAGTTCGGGTCATAATCAGATCGGTTAGAAACGGGTCGCTTCAGGGGCGGATTTACTCAGGTCAATGCCGGTTCGGTTTTTAAACGGTTCGGTTAATAATCGGGTCGGTTTGAAACAGGTCGGTTCAGGGGCGGGTTTACCCGGGTCAATGCCCGTTCGGTTTATAAACGGTTCGGGTCATGATCTGACCGGTTTGAAACGGATCGGTTCAGGGGCGGTTTTACCGGGTCAACGTCGGTCCGGGTTCATATCGGTTCGGGTCATGAACGGATTATTTTGAAATGGGTCGGTTCAGGGGCGGGTTTACCCGGGTTAATGCTAGTTCGATTCATATCGGTTCGGTTTATACTCGGTTTGGTGCTAAAATCGTTCGGGTTAGTTTGGTAATCGGTTAAATTGGATCGGGTTGAAATCGAGTTCTAAAAAGTGGTTTTGACCAGTTAGCGTGTTTTGTTTTATATCAAGTTGGGACTAGTATTTCCATTTAATTAGCGGGTCGGCATAGGTTGGTGAAAAAAATAATGGATCGAGTAGAAATTGGGTTTTAAGAGATTTTTGACCGGTTAGCTATTTTCGTTTTATATAAAGTTGGGACTTCGTCACTTTATTTTCAGACATCAGATTATATACAATTACACAAATCTTCATTTATTCAATTATTCTATATCATGTTAATATGTTATGTTTCAAGTTTGGTTATACTCTTGTTGTTGTTTATTCGATATTATCATATTAGTCTAACAAATTTATAATGTATTATTGTTTCATTATTAAATATATATTATTAGGTTATCAGTTTCTTGTTGGATTGTTTTAGATATCGTGTCATGACCATGTTTTGATGAGTTGCTACTTTGAATACGATAAATCGATTCAGATATCAGATTATATAGAATTACAGAAATTCTCATTCATTCTATATCATGTTAATGTGTTATGTTTCAAATTTGGTTATAGTCTTGTTGTTGTTTATTAAATATTAGTCTATTACAAATTTATAAGGTATTAATGTATTATTGTTTCATTATCAAATATTATCAGGCTATCATCTTCTTGTTTTAATTGTTTTAAAGATCGCGTCATAACCATGATTTGATGAATTGGTACTTTGAATACGATAAATCGATAATTGATATTGTAATAAACTAATAATTTAATGTTACGGAACTATATTTGGATGTTTAATTAAAATCACGATTATTCAATTTCCCATTAGTCTAATAAAGTAATAATTGACAATTGTTTGTAACTATTCCATAATTTTGGTGTTAAAGTTATATTGCTGAATTACTTTGTTGTCTTACCCTCTCTAATCACCTTTTAAGATTACGTGCCTACAAGGCTGCAACATATATATGTTGCAACTTGCAAGTTAAAGAAAACGGGTGAGGAAGTAGAAGTATTCAATTAGATCGATCATCAACTGTTTTAAGTTTTAATAATCAGATACATTTATCGATTATCTATACATACCAATGATAGTATGATACCAATCGTACCATACATTATTATTTATTACATATACTGATATACATATAACTAATATACATTAAATATGTTATATTGAATCAATTCCAATTTCCAAACATTTGTGTTTCTTACAATTTATAAGTTACATAAAGTTAAGAGTACAGTAGTGTTTTTATTAGTACGTAGCTATGAATAAAAAAAAACATACTATCCAAATCCATTATCCCATGATCCGTGTCACCGTCTTATATTAAATATCAGCCATTGATTTGCATGTCATCTAACGGCCTATCATCGCACACATTCCAATTCACGATCTGTGTGTTTTCTTTTCCACCAATCAGATCACTCTTACCATCGTCTCTTTAGTACTCTTTTTGATTTCTCTCTCGTTTTCTTAATCCTCTTCTGTAATATTATCAATTTTTTGAAGCCATGGCTGCTAATATGCTCACTGCTCTCTCGTTTTCTCTCTCATCTCCTCTTCCTTCTTCCTTTCTTCTTCTTCCTTCTTCTCCCTTCTTCCGTCTATGTTCTCCTTTCTTCCATCTCGTTTCTCCGTCTCCGTCCACCGGCACCACGCACGACGGTTTTTATGGTCAAATTCGACCACGAAACTCTAGATCTAGTTGCTTCATGATCGAATTTGGCCTTTTAAAACCAAATTCGAGGCCAAATTCAGGATTAATATATAAGGTGTTTTCGTTCTTCCTTTTTTTAATTTTTTGTTTTTCTTTTTAATTTTTTTTCAAGTTGTGGGCAACGGAGGGGGCCGAGTTAGGGTGGGTGCGGCGGCGGTTAGACTGGGTTCGGGTGGGTTGGGAGGGAGGATTTTTCGAGGAAGGGAGGGAGTTTTATGGTGGGTGAGCAATTAAAGTGAGTTGGGGGGTTTCGAGGATGTTGGGTTTCGTGGGGGTAGGTGGGGTGTGGTTACGGTGGGTTTGGGTTTTTTTTCGATTTTTTTGTATGGGGTGGGGTGGGGTGTGTTACGGTGACGGTGGTGGGTGTGGTTGGGGTTGGGTCTGTTTTTTTTTTTTTTTTTTTTTTTTTTTTTTTTTTTTTTTTTACAGTGACGGTGGTGGGTAGGGTGGGGTGGGGTTTGTTAAGGGGGTGGGGTGGGGTGGGGTGGGGTACGTTACGGTGATGGTGGTAGGTGGGGTGGGATATGGGTCTGGGTCTGGGTTTTTATTATTTACGGTGACGGTGGTGGATGGGGTGGGGTAAGGTTTGGGTCTGGGTTTTTTTATTTACGGTGGGTGGTGGGGTGGGTTACGGTAATTATGGTGGGTGCGGGGGTGGTGTTAGGGTGGGTCTGGGTTGACGTTGGTGGGGTGGGGGTGGGTTACGGTAACGGTGGTGGGGTGGGGGTGGGTTACGGTAACGGTGGTGGGTGGGGGGTAGTGTTAGGGTGGGTCTGGGGTGACGGCGGGGGTGGTGTTAGGGTGGGTTACGGTGGTGGGTGGGTGGCCAAATTTTTTCATTTTTTTATTTAATTTATAACTCCTAATTTAGTTATACAAGAATATAATTTTAATTTTATAATAGCAAAAAAAATTACAAATTTAAATCAATAATTATATGTAAAAAAAATTGTACTGTTAAATTACATTAAACATCAAATATATTTCGTGGAATTCTAACAAATTGTTAAAGGCTGTAAATAGTTCAATTTGAATGGAACGGGTTGTAAACGGTTCGGTTTAAATAGTTTGTAATCGGATTGGTTTAAACGGGTTGCGGTTTGAAAATAGTTCGGTTTAAACGGTTTAATGGGTTATAACAGTTCGGTTTAAACGGTTAGCGGGTTGTAAATGGTTCGATTTAAACGGTTTTTCCTACGGTTTAAACGGTTTCGGTTTATAAACGGTTCGGTTTAAACAGTTAGCGGGTTAAGATTAATCGGTTCAAACGGTTTCGATTTATAAACGGTTTGGTTTGTTATTGGTTTACGGTTCGTAACGGGTTAACATTAATTGGTTCGGTTCGGTTTCGGTTTGACATTATACGGTTCAGTTCGGTTTTCGGTTTAAAATTAGCGGGTTATAAACTGTTCGGTCCGTGATGGTTCGGTTCGGTAACAGACGGTTTCACGGTTCGGTTTGAAAAGTCCCACCCCTACCTAAGATGTATATTGGCCACACCCAACAACCTAATATGTATCTTCGTAATCAAACGAATATATGTGAACTCTTTAAAATACGATCGCAAAAGGGCAAAGTAATTAATCGATTCCAGCTGTATGAATCAGAATCAGAATCAGAATCATAATTAAATTTATATTTATGCTCTAACTTATGATTACTCATTTGGACATAATAGAACCTTTGTAAATTGCAATCACCTAGATTTGCTAAAAACTTACACTTCATTGCTACCATATGCTTCGTATACTCTATTATTTCATATACAAACCACTCAAATAACCTTATCAGCCTAACTATAAATTCCATAAATAGTAATGATAAAATTATTTCAAACCCATATGTTGAATTATTATATGATGAAAATTGATATGTCTAATTGTCCATAAGAAGACATCCCCTAATCAACCTCGTCAATCCAATCAACCATTATGTCATATGGTCATAAATCTTAGTCATTTACAAAAATATTTGACTAAAAATATTTTATATTTTATTTTATAAAAAAATACTAAAGGTTTGTGATAATAATAGTTGAGTAGGAAAAGTCCACACCAATAACTTTCAACAATGACAGAAAATGTTAGGCAGGTTTAGGGAGGGTAGGAAAGAAAACATGCATGGACAAAAATGCAATAATGTTTTCTTTTTTTCATAAAAATGAAATACATTCTAGAAACACTTCTCACGAGAGAAAAACCTAAAATATAAGATCTACGAGACGATAATACATCAGTTGCATAAACTACTAATTATAATCATTTATGTCATTATTAACCCTCGATTAGGAAAAAGAATAACCTGATAGCTGAGAAAAAACTGATTACGGAATAGTATTAATGCAGCGTCTACATGGATATCAGCAACGAACAAAAATAGGACAATATATAATAATATAAATGCTGAAGACTATAAGCTCTACATATCTATAATCTAGCGAAGGGAGCCAATTGGAAGCCAGATCTGCTACTACTCGAGCCTTGCGATGGTATACAGTCGAGGGTCGCCCAGGGAGAATGGAGCAGAAATCGTTTTATGTGCCAGAATTCCTCCTATAGACGCAAGCTAAGGCAGAACTTAAAATGCGGTGGTGGTGGTGTCACCTCCCTTCTGGTCACCAAAGATACGCTGCCTGAAGTCAGAAACCATCATGGGCAGACCTTTGCGAAGTGCAATCTTAGGCTCCCAGCCAAGCAACTCTTTAGCCTTACCGATATCAGGCTTCCTCTTGTGAGGATCATCCTCGGTATTAGGCCTGAATTCTATCTTTGCATTTGGATCTATTGTTTCTTGAACAACCTGAAAAACAAACGAAAAAATGAATAATTCTTGTATCACAAACGGAATGGGAGCCCGTTTGAACCAAGGAATGTATGGTTTTCTATATTGTAATCATCACCCAAAGATTTTGCCACAAATTTTATTTTCTGCCCTTGTTAAATACGGAGATGTTACATTTCAAGTTTTAACAAAGGGAGAGGTTACAATATTATCAGTTTGTACTGCACTGCATAATATTACAGGCTACAAGATTATCAGTATTTCTATCGGTTAGTTATGAAAGAATTAAAATAACTACTATGTACATATTTGATATTTCGTTGCAGTACGTGGTAGGAGTGTAGGACACCATTGAAGACAAAAGCCATTAATTTTTAGGGGCATAGGACATTGATAATAAATAATACAGTAGTTCATAGTGGACCATGGTAGGTCAAGCATCCTTGTATATAAAAAGGTGGAGCACGTCTAAGTTTGGAAATTCGGTAAAAACTAACGCCGACAATGAGAATACTACAGTGGTAGAATGAAAGAATGTGACAGAATACCTTCGCAAGTTCAAGCATGGTAAATTCACCAGGATTTCCTAAATTGAAAGGACCGACATGCTCACCCTCCATTAGGCGCATCAGACCTTCAACCTGCAAACACGGAGAATGGATTATTCAAATCCAATTAGTATAGATTCTCAAATTAAAATCCTCATATTATTAAGAGTGAACATTTTAAGCGTAAAGAATAAAGTACTGTCGAGATATTTTAGCAATTTTGCACCATATTATATGATTCAACTACTTTTATTGACAAAAGGGGACAAACTCATTAAAAACAAACATACACCAAAAAGTTGTGTTGATTAGGGGCCATGTGCAACATAAATTACTAGTGTCATAGATCACGAAGTTTGAAAGAGGGAAAAAAAATAATTCAGCAAAGGAAATCTACAAATGAATTGGAATAAACATTATCAATAAAAACAAATGAATTGGAATAAAATACCAACATTTGAAACTTTCAAGGACCTTTGTTTTGTATGTTAACTAATTGATCTCCATAAAGTGGGCAGCTTTGTTATTATTGAGCTGGCTTAAACCATGCACTGACCAAGTCAATAATTTATAGTTCTTATAAAATTACTTAAACAGAACTTTAAATTCGATCATGTAAGCTACTACAGCATGAAAGACATCTTTTTTATTTGTTGAGCAAGTACATGGTGATCCCCCATTCGTGATGCCCAGTGAAGATAAGGGGGAGGTTGGGTATTTGATCTCACCTCCTTGTGGAGATCAAGGGATGCGCTTTCCCAAATAGGCTACCCCAAATCCTTAACACCTTTCTTACAATTCAGATTTCACGCGGTATACCCAGGCACTGCCAGAGTTCACACAACTACCACATTCCACACTCATTAAAGTTGTACTAGCAAAATTATACTCTAAAATATAAATGCTACTCCTTAATTCACATGGGATCAAACCACCCCCCATCTCATAAACAATAACTTAATGGTAACAACAAATCCTAGTAAGAGAACATGCTTAGCTGATTAAGGCACAGCACTAAAGACAAGTATACACATAAAGAATTAAACTTGATTAGATCCTTCCCAAAAGATTGTCCAATTGCATTTTTTGGATCATTTAAATTTAAAACTTTGATAATGATACAGCCATACTGTTGAATTTGTTTAAACCGCAGATCGTGAAAAGATAAATGGAGCAATATTAAAGGTACAGAAGTACCACACAGTCCAAATTTAAGCTAGAAAGCAGCATAAAGCAATTGGAGAGGCAAACTTACCAAGTCAGAAACAAACTGGAAACTTCTGGTTTGCTTTCCATCGCCATAAACAGTCATGGGTTCTTTCCTCAAGGCCTGAAATATGTCTCAGTTAAAATCCAGTTTCATCAAGTTCAAACAGAGTACTAATCAGGCATATTTTAGTATCCATTACTAGAGAGGCACGTGTTTTCCTAATTACCTGTGCAACGAAGTTGCTAACAACACGACCATCATCAATGCACATTCGAGGTCCATAAGTGTTGAAAATCCTAGCAATTCTCACCTGCAACAAATGACGCGTGTTTAAAAACAAGCTACCCAATTCAAGTATTTAAGTCATTAAGTAGTTAACGAATCTCAATAATATTTAATTAGTAGAATTTGAACAGACCTCAACACCAGCACCTCGATGGTAGTCCATGGTCAATGTTTCTGCTGTACGCTTTCCCTCATCGTAACAACTACGAACACCTATAACATGTCCACCGCCAACACTTGTCATTAACTTTTTATTTAAATACTTCTTGTCACAGTGTACTTCTAATGCAGCAACACACATACTTAGTTCAGTTAATCTAGCATTTTATTTAATGTATAAGCAAGCTTCATGTGAAAGCATATCACAATAAATTTTACTTGTATAATAAAATACGTATTATCATCACACAAAATATGTTGTCTTCACATACAAGCAGTATTATTTTACAACGAAAGATGAGCAGGTGAAGTACAAGGATACTTTCCAATGTAATAGGAGCACCGACGATCATACCCTATACAACCCTACAAAAATCACTAAAGTACAAACGACCCATCTTTTTTTTTTTTTTTTTTTTTTACTATTACATACTGAAACCCATATCTACACCAATGAGAATATACCAAATTTCCTAAACAATTATTATTAATGCTAATTTAAGCAAGTCAAAAATAGCTTCCAAAGTCTAATAAACTTGGCAAATAATAAGAAAATGACTACACAGATTGAATGAGCCCCCATTTAGGTAGCCTGCTTAAGACTAGGAAATTAGAACCCAGCTTGATTAGTGGTCCCGCAAATCACGGATTTTTATACGATAGATCTCATCAGAACTTTACACGTGTTAACACCCAACTTCACCCACGTGGCTCACTTTCCTTAATTTCACTTCAAATGTGGAGGAAAAAGCAGGAAATAAAAATGAACAAAGACACTTTCTACAGTTTTTATCAAACGTCACCATTTATAGGTCCACATGTCTTATGTTACATTACTTTTCCCGCGCAAGATATGATTCATAAAGTTTGTGCTAACATAAACTTCAATAAAAAATGTTTTCTTTGTAGCAAAATATAAAGTCACAATTCCATAAAAATAGAAAAATAAAAAATAAAAAATAAAAATAATAAAAAAAAAACTTATTTTTAAGAACCATATACTGGGGAATTAGAAATTAAACCCCATCATAACGCTCCAATCACATGTTCCGTGAGAAAATCATAACACGACACTGGGTGCACAAATATCACGTCATAAATACAAATTAACAAAGTGAATCAAAAAAGTTGAATTTTCTAATGGAATTAACAAGTAAGATTGTAAGAAGAGAGAAAATTACCAATGGGGTTAACATTGCCCCAGTAAGTCTCCTTCTGAGGGTGCTCCAAAGGGTCACCATACACTTCACTAGTACTTGTTAGAAGGAACCTTGCACCTACTCTCTTTGCCAATCCTAACATGTTCAATGTTCCTACCACATTTGTCTTGTTAATTCATCAGTCAAGGATTCAACAATCAATCAATTCACATCTACAAATGTATTAACAATAAACATTAATATCACTCTAACAACGAATTCGCTAACAAAAATCGAATCTTTTCGATTTGATACCCAATTCGTGGAGATTTCTATTGTACATCCGAATGTAACATACATCTAGCCCCATTACCATTTACTCCGTATTAATCACTTCCCCATTTAGAGATCAGTACACCCGGATGTATAATAGAAATTCACTCGAATCCCTAGCCCACATGCAAGATGCAACTCTCATTAAACAATTTCACAATGGGAAATTCCATGTTTCATTACCTAAACACAAAAAACTCACTTTTCTTGGAAAATCACCAATATAATCAAAATTCAACACACCCAAAAAAATTCAAAATCCAACCACCCCAAAAAATCAAATTAAAATCGTAATAATAATAATAATAATAATAATGAAAAACATAAAAGAGATTGAATTAGAAAAGGATATGATAGTTTTGACAGGGTTATGTTTGTAATGAACAGGGGAAGCAGGGCAAGCCAAATGATAGATCTGATCAACCTCCAACAAAAGAGGCTCAACGACGTCGTGTCGGATCAATTCAAACCTAGGGTTTCCAAAATGATGCATCACATTCTCTTTCCTCCCAGTAAAGAAATTATCAACAACAATCACACTATCACCTCTCGCAATCAAACGGTCCACAAGATGCGACCCGACAAACCCGGCCCCACCCGTCACAACTATCCGCAACCCTTTTCGTTTCAGCCCTAATGGGACCTTCCCAGATCTAAACCCATCACTGACCCGGCTATGGTGGGTCGGAATCAGCCGAGTTGACTCGGCGGTCAGGAACGATTCCCCGCCGATTGAATCATGCAGCATGTTGATGTCAATTTTAGATGACGGCGACGAAGAGGAGGACGATGGGGTGAGGGAAAAGATCAATGTGGCGATGCCGATACCGAGGACGAGGAACACGAGTCGTTGCTCGCGAAGAAGGTAGTGAATCGGACGAGTTACGGTTAGCCATGGTTTAAGAGGCTTTGGTGAGTCGTACTCGTCGGATTTGAGGTGGGATTCATGGCCGCCTCGGAAGATCAGTTCCGACGCCATTGTTGTCGGGTTGATTATATATGTGAGTTTGGTGGTAAGTTGAGATTGAGTCAAGGAAGAAGACGAAGAAAAGGGAGAATGTGAGAATGGGAAAAGAGAGGAGGAATTGAGGAATGAATTTGTAGGTGTCTGAAATCTGAGAGTGCCATGTTTAATGAATGGTTAAATATATGCGTTTTAGTCCTTGGGATTTGTGGGTAATTACGAGAGTACCCTTCTTTGTTTTCTTCCTCTCTTTGGCTTATTCTATGGTGTAACAAATAACAATGTTGTTGTTACATTAGTCTTTATTAACTAGCTTAATTGGAACTAATTAGTGACTGGTACGTGTCATATCATGTCTTGTGTTAAGTTTGCATGCTTTGGGATCCGATAAATCCAGTCTATTAGGTACATGTTGTGTTCTGCTTTGTTTAAAATGACTGTTTGGGTATGGCCTGATGTATTGTGGTTTATGTGTCTATAAGACTGATTTCAATTATTTTTTCATGTTTTGATGTGATGGACCATGTTGTCCCTGCTAGATGAACTAATGGGATGAAAGCTAACAAACTTAACTTCTTTCAAAAGCATTGTCATATTTTTAGGTGTTTTTGTGGCTAATTTCGATGATAAATGGTGCAAAGGAGATGTCTAAGATTAAATTTATACATATTGTTCTTCTATTGGAAATCTAAGAGTCTGATTTGAATGGCTAAGTACCGATCCGTAATTAGGCTTTGCAATGTAGTATACAAAATTATTTCCAAGATGTTGATCAACATGATGAAATTGTTTCTCTTTAGTGTACGTTTAGGGGTGAACATTATTCTAACAAAATTCAATAGTCAAAATTATAATTTAGATTAGATAAATTTTTTATTTAGATTGGATTAGATGAAATTCGAATTTTTTTATTCAATTCAATTTATTCAAATCAAATATAATCGAACAAAAGCAAAACCTAGTGGCATCCTCTTACGATTGGAGCCAAATTCAAATTATATCGATTTTACCAAAAAAAAAAAAAAAGCTCAAATTCCCATATAAAAATAAATTTAGATTCTAAAACTCTCTTTCTTTCCTTATCCGGCCACTCACCGACCCTAATTTCTTCCTCAACCCTAAAACTTATTCATTCTAGCTCATCGATCATCTCTCTCTCTATCTCTCTCTTTTCAATCTATGTTAATATTCTTACTAAATTAAATCTCATCTCTCATGTGTTTATAAATTATATCTCAAATTTTCTAGGTTTACTTGCTTTTGTATCTTCATTTAGTGATTTATATTAATAAATTGCTTTGAAATTTCGATCATTTACTATAAATCATGCAATTGTCCGTGAAGCACAAAAAGTAGGCTAGTAGTTTACAAGTCTAAAGGAGATCTCAATTACTTCAACAAAGAAAGTAAAGAAAAAAAAATTGTTGCATAAATCTTTACTTAATTCTTGCAAAAAAAAAAAAAAAAAAAAAAGAGCTTGTAATAATTATTCATATTAAAGTTATCATGTAAAACTTTAAATTTGATGTTATAACTCTATATTTAATTTTGTAGCCTATTATTACACAATAGAAAAAATAATTATATTTGTTATTGAATTGGATTTCACTTACTAAATTTTTAAAAAATTTCAGATTAGATTGGATTGGATACAATTCAAAATCGATTTAGATATAATTTGAAAAAGTTAAAACCAAATATTTCATTTTGAATTTGGATTGGGCCATAATCAAAACCAACTCTTGAACTTTCACCCATACTGATATTATATTGGTTATTAAAGTGTATTTACCCTTTGGACGGTATATATATTATTATTATTAGTCATAATATTTGATTAAATCTCTTCGTTGTATACATAGTTCTTGTTTAGGGAGAAAGAAATTTTAGCAGCTGAAGTTGGATATGATGAAGGCAATTGATCAAGTAAAGTGGTTGTAATTTCTCAGAAGGATTGATAAATAAAATGGGTTTTGATGTTGGTTGGGTTGCATTGGATGATGAAGAAATGCAATTGATGTTTCCATATTGAGGGGTGATGAATGGATGGAGAACCTTCAGATTTTTTTGTTGGCATGTAAGTCCTCTTATAAGTTGTTGTCCAAGCAACATGTACAAATTTGATGAACTTGTTTAATTAGAATAATACCATTAGGTGTGTGCGATGCATGATTGACATATATACAATTGTAGGAATGTATGGTGGCTCTTTTTGGTGGGGATCCGATACAAGGAAGATGAGTATAAGTTTCACTAGGAAGCTTAATTGGGACAGCAAACTTTGCAAGTCCAATGAGGATGGGATCTAGGCCATATATAAGAGGATTGTTGATTTCGACGAGGGAATGCTAGCTAAGTTGCTAGGGTTGACAATGCAACTACCTAAACTCCTATAGAACGCATCAATAAGGGTAGATGAATGTCAAACAACTATGAAGAGCTTTTAACTTCAAAATGCTCCAAAATTATCAGCATCTCTCATATGACCATTTAAAATGCCACACGGGCGTGTATAATTCACGCAAAGTCATTTGGTCGATAATCCAAAGGCTAAGTTTGGACCTTTAATTAATTGTTGTAAATGATGATAACTTAATAGGAAAGTGTGTCAATTAAATAGGAACGAAGGAAATGCGTTTATCTTAAAGAATTGTTTAATGTACTTGTATGTTTATTGATGATAGATTTTTCTAAAATAGATTTTATACTCCGTATCTAAGTATATTTGCTCCTTAAGAAAAAAGTTTATCCTACGCCATGTTTAGTTCACCTTATTTTTACTTACTTATTTAGAAAAATCACTCCAAATTTGAAATAAGGCTCACCAATCAAAACTCGAAAGGTGTTATAAAAACACGACTATTTTCATTAATTAGTTGGTAACTTTCGTGAAAGAGAATAAACAATCCTAATTTCCAATACCCGTACAAATAATTTAAATTCGTGAATTGTGATTGCACATTTTGCACTACGCCACTTCCTTCTTAACACAATCATACCTTAAATACTTGGACTAAAGATATTTTCTTTTTGAAATTGAAATTTCAAGCCCCTTGGACAATTCAATGCATTAATTTTCAGCGTACTAGAATCGAAAAGCTTTAAAGAGAAGAATCCAAAGGGCAAAATGGTAATTTACTCTCCCAAAAAATTTTGGGTATGTTTTCCATGCCTAAAGAAAAGGCCATATTGGTGGGAAGAAAATAAAAAGAAAAGGAAAAGCCCAAATTCCACTTAAAGGCACACAAATTTGGTGGGAAGAATTTTATGGAGTGATACCGACGCTCCATCATTTTCGTTGACTAATCAAAATTTAAATCTGTCATTATTTTATTTTATTTATTGACCCTTTTATAAGTGTATTTTCTTGATTAACAAGTGTTTAGTAAGTACGAGTAGTCTTCTATCATGGGCTGTTTCTTACCAATCTACTTCCAACGCTTTGAATTTGGTCTTTTTTCTGTGATTTTCTTATTCGTTTTATACCACTTCGTCCGCACTATCTTATGTTTGTCCAAACAATTCTGGAATTTTTTAATCTTTAATCGATTGCTACATACTTCTTTTTTTATTTGAGTATTTGCGCGTTAAACGTAACTTCTTTTTACTAACTGCAACGTTCATCACCGTCATTAAATAATACCTCAGCGTCCTTTTTTTTTTTTTGGAACAACCTTAGCATCCTTTTTTTTTTTGGAACAACCTCAGCGTCCTTAAGTGTATAAAACGTAATTTTGGACTTATAATAATGGATTTTGTTTGAATATTTAATAACTCAATATGAAATTCTATATTAATGTTGTTTTTACTTTTTGAGAATTGACTTTGATTAGATTAATTTATTTTGTCCTTACAATAATAGATTCAAATAAGGATTAATAAAACCAAGTGAGTGAAGGATGGATTTAGATTTTATTACACTTCCTTAATCAGTGTTATTGGAATCAATTATTATGTTGGAATCAAATAAGGATTAACGAGCGTCCCGGGGCGTTAGATAACATTCAAATATATCTCCTAAAATGGTATAAATTTGAGAATGTGTCAAAATTAGGGCTGAGCAAAATTATCCGAAAATCCGAAAATCCGAACCGTAACCGAACCGAAAATTAGGGTACCCGTTCCGATAATCATAACGGTTCGGGTACCCGATCCGATAATTTGTTATCGGGTACGGTTATCGATATCATTTTAAAATTAACGGTTACCCGATCCGTTCCGATAAGCAATTTTTTTTTTCCTACTTAAATCTATTTATCCAAAATCTAAACTATTACCTTACTTCGTAATCACTTTATAATTTAAATGATTAGTAATTATTTGTAATTTGGTCATGATCATGTGGTATTATTGCTAATTAGTGTTGAATGATATTATAATAACTATACTATAAAGTCTAAATTTTTATTATTGGATATCATATTGGGTACCCGATAACCGAACCGAAATTCCGGGTACCCGAAATTCGGGTACCCGAACTTATTGGTTCGGGTAATGGATATCATTTTTAGTGTTATTGGTTATCGGGTACCCAAACCGATAGTGTTAACGGTACGGGTACCCGTCCCATGCTCACCCCTAGTCAAAATCACGCGTCGATCGGTGTAATTTATGTTTATTTCAAGTTAATATTACTACTTTTAGACTTCTACCTGAGAGAATATGAGAATATTTGCCGTGCCTTTCTCATTGATTAATCATCAATATATATACACGCGTATTATAGGGCTAATGACTAAGGATACATCAGTAATTTACAAACTAAAGTACACAAGATTATTTACATAATCTAACACACCCCCGCAGTCGAAACAGGAGGACTGCGAACGCTGAGACTGTCCCTGAAATCATTAAATAAAATTTTCGGCAGACCTTGAGTGAAAATGTCCGCAATCTGATACCGGGACGGGACATGAAGTACACGGACCTCACCGCTGTACCTTCTCACGAACAAAGTGAATATCCAGTTCAATGTGTTTTGTGCACTGATGTTGAACAGGATTGCCTGAGAGATAGATAGCACTCACATTGTCACAATAAACTAATGTAGCTTTAGAGACCGGACAATGTAGCTCTAGTAATAAATTCCGAATCCAACAGGACTCAGAAACAACATTAGCAACCCCTCTGTATTCTGCTTCTGCACTAGACTTCGACAAAGTAA